TGCGGGAGACGTAAAGAGACTTCCACGTGATCGATATCAGTCATTTCGAATATTAATATCGAATGGTCTTACCGAGTTCTTTATCACGTCAGCATTTCGTCGTCTTGCTGATTTCAACTTATCGCAATTTTTTGCAATTTAAAAAAAAAAACTGTTCTTTTTACTTTTATGCTTTTCTGAATATTTATATGCTATCGTATGGTATGATGATAATTTTGAAAGATTGTAATTGTACGTTTCATGCAATAAAAGATATTTCAAACATGAAGGTTAAAAATTGTTTTTGTTTTTAAATATAATTCATGATATAAGATTTGATGATATTTTTTCTTGTTTTAAAATTTATATTATACATGTTGTAATGCTCACTGATATCCAACATATATATTTGCAAACAGGCTATGATTTATAGTATCGATTTATCGCAAAAATTTTTAATTTAAAGATCTATCTCGAAATATAATACTACAAATAAAAATTTATTCAATCTTTGAAAAGTTTTAAGAATTAAAATATTCTATCTGAAACATATTTAAAAGATATTTTTTAAATTTTTCTTTGTTTTCCAACTGTTAGACAAAAATAATTGCAATCAATTATAATCTTTCAAAATTATCTAACCATTAATGAACAATGATTAAACAAAAACTGGCATTATCGAAATTCAATAGCCAAATTCAAAACTTATCAGTAGCCATAATAAGTCTTGAAAAAAAAACAGATTTAAAATTGATTAAAGAAACGCAAAAATACGATTAACCTGAGGGACACTGTATATCTAGATTATGGGTTTAACTTAAATTGCTACCACACAAAAATAGTCAACGTCGAAATGATGTGTTATCTGATGAAAATGTAAATAAAATATAAAAAGTGCGTCAAAGTAAAATATAGAAAGGTTAAAAAAAGCTGTTTAAATATAGAGAACAATTTAAAAGAGGTATAGAACTGAAGTCTGAATAATTACGAGTAGTGTAAAGAAACTATTTGTATCGCATGTTTTCTTGGTTCGTTCAATAAACTATGGATTAATTACTCGTCAATTATTTCGAATAATCAATATAGCATTTGTATAACATTTCTTGATGTTAATCAATTGCTTTATTTCGATATGCGCGATAATTTCGTCACACATGGGACGTTTTTCACATGTTGTATATACGCAGGCTGATAAAAAAAAACTCGAGAGCATGATTAACACATGCGAATTGTTTTCTCAGGTGAATTTGTACAAATTTTATCCCTCTAACAGCTATTTTTTTGCATTTGAACATTATCTCATACGTTCGATGAGTCCTTTTTTATTGTGAAATTATGAAATCTTCGGATTTGTCCTTTTTATCATAATTAATTGATGCACTCCTAGATTTTTTCATTAATTTGAATAGAGGAGATAAGATTGCGTTATAATGGTATTGATGCACTCACACTTATACGATAACCGATTCTGAAAATTTAATCGATTATTCTTCGATTCTTACGCGATGCTTACGTAGACAGGAAATGTAATTCTTAAATAAACGAAGTGAATGAAACTGTTTTTAGTCGTGACGCAATTTTTTCGCGTCTCTCTTATTCTTTACACATTTTTAAAATATTTATAGAATAATATAATTTGTCTAAAGATTGTTTTGACTTTAAAAAATACCTTTAAAAAGAATTCACAAAAATAATTAGACAGAAAGATATATAAATCCAATAATTTATAATCTCATGATACTTCGATATTTAAATTTTTTTAAATATCACATGTTGTCCAATGAAGTCAAATTAAACAGCATGAAAAATATTCAATGATCCTAAACTACCAAAAATCCAAAATTCTTTATCAAAAATATTTAAAAAATCTAAAAATTCTTATATATGTATTTTCAAAAATCTAAAGTTCAAAAATTAAAAATTTAACGAGCTCAGAATCTGAAAACTTCAAGATTCAAATGTACGTTAAAGATTGGAAAATTTAGGAATTTAATTCATAGATTTTCAAGAACCTATCCAGCACACATAAAAAAAGTCCAAAGATCTTTAGTTAGAATTATTTATATTAAAGTAGCACTAAAATAAATGTCTGAATAATTATCTCTTAAAATGTCAATTTCTTTTTCTCTTTTTTTGACGAAATATTATGTGAGAATATTGATATGTGTATAAATTTGTATGAATTTTTTCGTTCTTTCGCGGTTTGAAGATATGTAATATTCAATCAACCCTCTTGCCCTCCCGAGAAAGTTCACGTAGTACGTTTGCGTAATGGTCATCTAAAACTTCGTGCACCAAAGATAGAGTCTGACATCATACACACGGGCATCAGTCGGATCGAACGAGCGATAAACATATGTATTCACGCAATAATGTCCTCGTACGCGGAAGATTTCAGTTTATCACTTACATATAACTGTCAATCGATCGATCGATGTACCCATTAATATTGCAAACATACAATTCTTCTACGAATCTTCTTGCTTTCTTTTTTATTTCTTTATATACATCTAAATAGTTGTGTCTTTATTAGACGCACTCACACTTATATGATAATCGATTCTAAAAATTTAATCGACTATTCTTTGATACACGATGCTTACGTAGACAGGAAATATAATAAAATAAAATAAACGATTAAATAAACGATTCCACTTATATGCACGAATAAATAAAGATCTTTAGTTAGAATTATTTATATTAAAGTAGCACTAAAATAAATGTCTGAATAATTATCTCTTAAAATGTCAATTTCTTTTTCTCTTTTTTTAATGAAATATTATGTGAGAATATTGATATGTGTATAAATTTGTATGAATTTTTTCGTTCTTTCGCGGTTTGAAGATATGTAATATTCGCGAAAATCCATCATTTATAGACAAGAAAGACACACACAGATTCTCAAAGATAAAAGATAAAACTGATATGAAGATCACCGAAGTATTCTAATAATATCGTTGATTTCATCGTAATAAAAAATTAAAAAACTCATAGCTCCAAAAATTGCGAAGATCAAAAAGCGCAATATTGATATTAATTGATGCGTATACGCTGTATATTCGGCGATATGCAGCGATGATTAAACATCGCCAATAATCATATCAGTTATCTCCACTCATGACGTCAGAATCGAGAAAACAAGCGAAACAAGTTTCAAGTTCCATGGAACAATTAATTTTTATTTATAATGAAACTATCGCGTAGCATGATGAAGCAGATTTATAAAACGTACAGAAACTTTATCATTAAACTAACATATTACTAACTAATATATTATTATTACTAATATATTACTTTATCATTAAACTAATATATTCTTCGTAACAAAAAAAATAAAAGCAAAAAATATATATAATTTTTATTATTTTTAATTTTCTTAATGAAAGTGTAACTTTAACTGTCCGAATTTTTCGCATTTTTTTCATATGTCATTTTCATTAAAAATCGGATCTTTAGCATATTTTACAAATCTACTCTATCAATATGTATAATATTAAAAATGCAATTATTTTGATTATTTATTTAAATTAATTATGTGTGTGTGTATATGATATTATGACAAGTGAACAGAATGTTCACGCTTCTCGTAATTTCTCGTTATTTTCGAATTGTAGGTGCGTATCATCATAGAGGGTTTATTGTTTGTCGAGAGAATAATGGCGATTTACACACGAGCTCGGATACGGCAGCTTATAGTAACACGTAACACTCGCTGCTGCTGCTGATAAGACGTCTTTGTACATATGTACTATATCGGTAGAGACGTCATGAAAGCAACCTGATAAAATACGATTCGCTCAAGTACGATGTATAAGATAATACATACTATATAGTGTGCTCCGCAATTATCAGCAGAATGAAAGCTTCGAAGCAATGTTCGCTTTTGAAAGTACCTTTCTCTCAATCTTTCATTAGATTTTTCGATTTACTATCATGTAGATCAAATTATAATTGCATTTTACATAATTTCAGTTGACATAATTAATATCCTAGTAACGCACATATTTGTTTATATTAAAATTGCATTTGTGATTTTATAATATAAAATTATTCATTTACAGCATATAAAATATAATAAATGTTGTAGACTTCAATAAATAATGAAATAAAAAAACTTCGATAAAATTGCACACATAAATGTAATTAAAAAGAAATTTAAACAATTTGTTGAGTCTTTCAAAAATATAATAGCACATATTATAAAAAAGAATCTTTTGCATAAAACAAAATCGATAAAGCATGTGATTTTTAATATTTGTGTGAAGATTTAATATTATTTCTTTAATGATTATGCCCATTTGAAGAATTTTATCAATCAATTTTACGAAAAAATGCGAATCATTCTTTAAAGGAAATTGATTCATGATTCAATAAATGCAAAATGACTTTTATTTTTACATAATTTGAATCATGATTTTGCACTTTCAAAGTCAAAATGTTTGAGGCATTTAAAATTTTGAAGAAAATTTAGAATAATTCAAGAATATAAAAATCAAAAGAATATATATAAATATTTTAATATGAATAAACAACAAAATACTGAGAAAAAAATTGTAAATTTGACTAAATCATTTAACAAAATTATTATTTTTTTTAATTGAAATATTTAAGTTAAATGTCATGTTAGATTTAATATGTCGTATTTAATTTAAATACCTAAATATTTTAATTAAAAAAATAATTTAGTTGAATGATTTAGTCAAGTTTAACAACGTTTTTCCTCAAAGTAAGTAAGATATAAATAAATAAAGATATAAATTCAAAGATTTTTTATTTAAAATTTTAAAAAATATTAAAGAAATTCAGAAAATACATATATGCAAGAATGCTACAATCTCTCATGTTTTATCCCTCTAGGTTTAAAGATTCAAAATGTTAAACATCAGTTTAAAATCTTTTGATTTTTTAATACTTTATCAAAAATAAGAAATGAAAAAATTGATAGTAAACTATCGATTATAAACTAATAAATCCAGTTTTATCCATTCTATTACAAATTAATAATAAAAGACATGACTTACCATCGATTGGATGAAATCGAAATTTCTTGAGCCTCGGCAATGTCGCAGGAGAACAGACTCTCGTCAGAACTGGCATCTCGCTAACTTCTCTGGGTGACGATCGGTCAGAAATTCCGTCCGAAAATGATTTCAGCTCCGAAACAGCCGCACGCTTCGGCGATCTTTCTGTGATGCCAGTGGCCTCTACGAAAAAGGAAAAAGGTGAACATAAGTATATGTATATATATATATATATATATATACAGATATATATATAGATATATATCCTTTGTTTGAGTTGATTGACTGCGTGCAATATCCTGACGTGGACGATGGTGCGTCATCGTTGAGTGTCATCGTGTGTATATATGTATGCGCGAGTGTCATTATTCCAGTATGCGGATTGCAAAACTTTTCGCGACGTTGTTTAACCGCGACAGCACTTTTTTTAATAAGCGATGGCGATATCATTGCACAGCGATATCTATACTTTCCATGAATCAACAAATATGTCAGAGATATGTGTATCTTTTTACACAACTTTTGCTACAGATCTCTTTCGCACGAGTTATTAAAGTTTAAATTTTAGCTATTACGACTAGGGTTTAGACAAAAAAATTTTGTTAAATTTTGTAACGTGACAGTTTCTTTCTCTCTATGCTCAGATTCTTAATATAAGAAAAAAATTATTTATAATATTTCTACTATATATTAATACATATGTATAAGAAATTTTTTAAATTCTTGTTGTTCAAAATTATCAAAAGATTTCAATGTAATCTTTGATAATTTTTTGTTATTTTATAAATTATATTTTTTGGCACAACTGTCATTTCAAATTTATCTAATTAATATATTGTAAACATATAAGCGTAGTTTCAATTAGAATTTATCTCTTATATTTTATTTTTTATTTTTATATATTCCGAACCATTCATTGTCTCAACGAATGCATCCGACAAATGTCAAACTATCAAGAATCAGCGGTCCGAAATTATAGTTATGAGTCACACGATTGATAATCAATCATGGAAAAGTTAATACTTGCAAAATACCTTGACCTCATTTTTCCTTAAAATTTTCTCTTTAAAAAAAGATGATTACTGGATAGCTAAAAAATCATTTCTTAAATAAATAGTTATTTTGATATAAAAATAGCGATGAAAGTATTTGAAATTAGATTTAAAAATAATTTTATTTTTTTCTATTTTTTCCAATAAACTATTAAACTTTAACTAAAAAAGAAAATTAAAAAAGAAACTAAAACTAAAAAAGAAAAAATCAAAGTAAGCTTTAATTTTGAATAACAGAGGAATCTATTTTTACCATAAAATCTTCAATAGCTTTCTTTTTATTTAATCAACCCTTGCGAAAATGTCTTTTGTAATATGTAAAATGTATAAAACTTTTTTTATATGTTTATAATATGCGAATATAATTAATAATTAATTTCTATTTGATTTCATATATTATGTAATATTATTTTATATAGCATAAATGATAATATGTATAAATAAAAATGAAAATATTTTTATCTTATAAAATATAATTTTTATAAAATATAATTTTTTTTATAAAAACATATTTTTACATATTTATATATATTTATAAATATGTCATTTTCGTGCAAAAAATTATTTATCACTTAAAATACTATAACAATGTTAAATATAACAAACAAACTTGTATTTCTAAATACACGAAGCTTAGAAATGATTTGTATTCTAGTTTCAAAGTTGCATGATTAATAAAAAATAATATGAAAAAAAGCGTAATAATAAATTAATTTTTACTAATTCACAAATATTTCGCTTCTGTGTATGGGTTTTAAAATTAAATGTCATAATTCTTCAAAAAAGTTGCATAAATCGCGTAATTCAAGTGTCACGAGAAAATTATCTTTTAATATATACATATACGTCACATATTCTATTATTTTAAACTCTTTTTAATCACGAAAATAGTAAATAATAAATTAAAAAATAGTAATGAGTTTTTCACTTTACTGATAAAAAATAAATTTTATTGTATGACATAGAAATATGACAAATTTGTTGCATTAACTTTTGAGGTTAATTCCTAATTGTGCGTTATACTTCTCGACATGTATAAATACGCGATTTATCTCCAGAAGTTTTATTTGACAATATTCAGCGAACCTTTGTACGATGTGTGTGTAGAGTATACGTTACTTATCAGGTGAACTGTCAATACCGTCACGCTTACCGGGCGACAGCGATCTCTTGACGGGCGACGCTCTCGCGGCACGATGGCTCACAATTGACTGTGTCGCGCCGTCGCGGCCAGCCGCCGATATCTTGGCGCTCATCCTCGCCGCACGAGGTCAGGTTCCGGCGATCCTGATTCACGTACCAGGAAGTTCAGTTCGGAGGACGACGTAGGAGCATGGCCGGCGCGCCAAGTCACAAGGTGACGACGGTCCGCCGCTACGTTTCCAGGTGTCAGTCGAGATTGATTCACGCCGACCTGCAAAAATACCCGTTAGAGTAGCGTGACATTGGATGAAACGACAGGCAGACGAAGAAACGGTGTCTATCCGATCAGTTCGATGAGCTTCGGACATGTTGTCAAGTTACTCGAAGTCAGACGTTTATTCTTTCCCTCTCTAATGCTTCTTGCAAAAGGTCATACTTTATTTTCTTTGAATTTATTTTTGTAAAATAAAGAGAGAATTAATCTTTTATTTGAATCATCATGAGTGCTATAAAAGGGAACAGAATTTTAAATGATTAAGAATAAATGAAAAATTTTATTTCTACTCTTGCAATCCTCATTTATAGAACGTATGGCCTTCCGCTTCAAGTCATAAAATATGAAAAAAAAGCACGAGTACACAAGGACGCGGGAAGAGCGTTGACTTTGGCGAGAGAACCTTGAAGAGAAGGAACAGGAAGAACTCGAGGAAACCAAGGCGATCCACAATTTCTCGTTTATTCTGGCGGTTTAATTTATTACAGGAACAGATCAAAGGGGAACGAAAAATCGCGGATCCATCAGACGTTAAACGCCTTGAACACGATGCCGGTAATAGCGACGCTCGATATGTTTCGATAGGAAGGGATGTCGTGAAGAAAAGGAGAATATAGTTCTCGCACACCTGCGCGATGTGTGTACGTGTGTATTTAAATAGCATTCAGCCTCGAGGTGAAAACGCAAGGCTGCGGCAAGGACTCGCGGCGCCATTATATGATGCACACGACAGAAAGAAAGACAATCGAAGTTCTCTCGCGAGAGCATAAAATAAGTCTATTTTAGTGCCGCGAGATAAATGTCTTTGTATCGGGGAAGGAAGGGTATCTGGATGCGAGCGTCAGATAACACGCAAAAAGAAAAATCAGTATCTCTGAAGAGTGCGATTGACGTAGAATTACAGATTAGAAGATTAATCTCGAACTTCAGACGCAGATTTTGTTAATTGCAGAAATTCCTCTTATATTTTTATTTATCAATTTTAACTTCCTCGCGACATGGACATCTAAATTCCCTTTAAGAATTGAAAATTATACGTAAGAGCCAATTAATCACGTCGAAATGTAAAAGAAAATAAATTTAAGATTAAGATTTAAAAAATGAAAGATTTTTAATCGCGTACAATTCATCGAAAGAGAAAAAAATTCATGCGTATATTTAAAATCGCGTACATGTCACGAATATTTTGCACTCCTCGGCGATTTTCCTATATTTACATGTTCGATTATCACGTCTTCGTAGATTAGTCTCAGGCACTCGAAACTGTCATTCGGACACGATTGCTCGACGCTTCAGTTCGGACGCGGACGTGCATGGCCCCGTCGACGCTGTCACCGAGGACACGACTGTGCTGGAAGAGTTGCCTGCAACGCGGCACTCCTCGTATGTACACGGTGTCCTAGGTAACCCGCCGTCGCCTACGCAGAGTTGTAGCCGCAAGTCCGCGTGGATACATGCGCGCGCGGATCACATGTATAGGAGCGAGTATCGAATCGATTTCTTCACCTGCCTTACCAGAGTTTCTCAATACTCTGAGTTTCTTAATATTAATATTTGCAATAGCCACGCGAGATTATTATTATAAAGCTTATAATTGCAACTCGATCCTTGAGGAAAGACCGTACACTAAAGTGAAAAATTCTGCGAGAGAAAAGAGCAGCAGTTTAAAATTGTAATTTACATTAACTGATCTTTTTTTCTTCACAAAGTATACATTTATAAAAAATTTAGATCCTTCCTTGTTTCAATCTTATTGTTATTAAGTATTCTAAATATCAAATTTTAGAAGAATTTTGTCTCCAATTTATGAATATTGGCTCCCTCTTCAAGTGAAACGTGTTTATCTCTCTCTCTTTCTCTTCTATAAATTTCTTGAAATAATAATATATATTTAGAAGAAAATGGGAAGAAAAAGAAAACGGAAGATTGCAAGATATAGTACAGAAATTTTCTCTCCCTCAGAAAATTAGTTAAATTAAAATATTTTCGGAAGTCACATTATTCAATGAAATTCTCTAAATCTCGGGCCACCAGAGCTTATCTTCTCATATTAATATAGTAAAGTAATAATATGGGTACCACTGGTGAGCACAACGATCCAATCTGCTTCCGTATTTAGCGAAGCGCGTTTATGCCGTGGCATTACTTCACCCTTTGCGAGTACATCGTATTTAGATTATATCGATTGCCGTTGCACGTCATAGCTTGACCTACTTGTAACACGTTGGACGTTCTTATACATACACCTAACACACACATACATGACATACAATTATATATATAAATATAGATGAGGTATTTAACCCTGTTTTATGACGAAAAAATTTCATCACGCTACGTGAATGTCATATCGATTCCAATATCAACAGATCAGAAAACAAGGTTTTTTTTATATATCTCGCGTAATTTTATTTAATAAACATGTATATTTAATAAACATTTGATTATAAGTACATATTAAGTGAGAAAATTAATATTTTCAGTCATGAAAAAATAGAGAACAGTCTATCATATACTATCCTGTAGAAATTGAAAATTATAACTTCATCATAATTATCTTCAATCATTGGTTTCTATATCCTGCTTGTTAAAAATAAAATTCAAGCTTTCACATAAAACAACTCTCATGTTTTAATTATAATCATTTTGCAAAACTCTTTCTGCAGAGGAACAAGATCACAAAAAAAAGCAAAAAAAACAAAATATTAATAATGACTTGAAATCTTAATCTGAAGAATCTTGAAGTATTAAACAGTATATTAAGTACATTTTAAATAACACGCTGAATATACCAATAAAATGAAACAGTAAGTTCAAATAAAAAGCAACTTATCACAACACTATTGTTAGAAATGTAACAAATAAAAATAAAAAATAATTTATCACAACACTATTGTTAAAACATTTTTTCCAGCAATTTTTTCTTACGTAAAGATTTGCATTTAACACAAAGTTATTCGCACAAAATATAAAAAATATATCTTTGAACATATATATTAATTTTTTAATTTGGAGAACTTGTTTGATCTAATGCAAATTCGGCGTTAAAAATTTATGCTTTTTAAATGCAATGTTCTTTTTATATTAAAAAAAATATTAAAACTGATAAAATAATGATCGATATAAATAAAAACATGCGCGTAAATGTAACATAGTAAAACAAACGTAAATATCTGAATAAAACTGAACGTAATAAAAATGAATTTATAATTGTATCACATTTAAAGAATTACGTGATTCTGCACTTTTGCAAATCTTGTTATGTCGCAATAGCGTAAAATATATTCGCATTCGTAGAAAGAGTTTGATTAAAAAAGCAACCGGAAAATCTGGACATAACGATTTACACTCAACTTGTTGTGCAAACTGCAACATCTTCGCGCCGAGATTATCCTCGATGGAGAATTTCTCAAAATTGCGCATAAACGTATCTTCCAGACTGGAAATGTATAGACTGAAAGAATTCGACGCATCTTTATTGGATGAGTTTTCCTTAGCGGCATAGCTGATGCACGCATCGCAATTAACGTGCATCCGTAAGCATTCACTGAGCAGAAATTCACAGACACGTTTAAACGCGCTTTTTTCAGGTAATCGTAAATCAATGTTACGATAATTCGTTGTCGCGACGCTTAAAACTATTTGAGTGGCAACGGGTTGAACTGTATCAGTTTGAGGAGACGATGCCGACAATGCTATTCGCTTAAGCATCTTCCGTGCATTCGCGGCAGAATTGTCTTCACTTGAATGCTCGAGAAAATGCTTGCTTACGAGGTTCTTGAACGCGCGAGTAAACAAGATGGGTGTGGGTTTAATGCGATTTCCACTTTGTCGTCTAATAGAATGGAAGACGCGCTCGATACCCTCCTGATTCAATCTTCTCGTGCGAAGGAAAGGGATCTGATGCTCCTTCAATGTATCCCACAATTGGATAATCGCGTTGATCGTAATCTGCCAACGATCGAAGGATTTTATCGATTTCACGCACACGCCATTTGCATCGATCACTTTGATTGACTTCAGGAAATCGAGCGTTCGCTGCAAGAAGTATATCTCGTGCATGTTACCCGTGAAAGCTTGACCAAAATCCTTAGTATTAGTCTTGGTTGATACAGACGAGTTTAAGATGTCGAATAACTGATCGAAAATGTATACAAATTCCATCGTTCCAATCGCTTTCAACGGAAACTCACCAGATGCGATATGCGCACTCAAACTTGCAGCCACGCTACTGCTAAATATTTGAACGGCATATTTGGTTTCAGTTTTTTGACGTCTATTAAGTTCGAAATGACTTATGGTTAATTTAGGAACCAGTGGCAAGCGCATTTGACTATCACGCCTGAACAACAATTCGACATCTGTCCACGAAGCTCTGTTCCCGCGAAAGCGGAGTTCGTGATGCATGAAAACATTTCTGGTTGCTCTTATTAGACGAGGGACATCGAAGATGTAAAATATTCTGTCGCCGTTCACTAGAAAGGACGAATTCTCCACAGAAATCCCTAATTTCCGTGATAGTTGTAGAAATGTTGGTGTCGTGTCTGTGATTAAGGCGTGCACAGTCACGTCGATGCTCTTTAATTTAATTATCGCCTGAAATATCAAATCTTTCACGATATTGATACAACACGTGCTACCGTAGAAATAGTAAGCTACGGGTTGTTCCCAATCACTGGTGAGGCTCCGCGCCATTATCACTAAGGCCTTTCTCGCCAGCGTACGTCGTTTTTCCATACCGACATCATGGAAACCGATGATTCTGTCACGCGATAGATTGTAAAAAAGATGTGCTTTCAGTTGCATTTCACTTACACTTAGACAGCAAAACCTCTCTATCACTGGTAGTGACTTCATCTTCAAATGCAATGCGTTCAACACGTTATCGTTCAAACCAGGCGGTATATCCCAGTTGCGGATATGTCTCCACAATTGACGTACGGTAGGCAACAAGCATAACGGTCGATAAAATCGGTAGGCACCCGAAGCTATAAGGAAAAACTCGAGCGCAGATTGTCTATCTGCGAAATTTCTTTTAGCTTTGCGTTTCTCGCGAGCATCAATGTATGCAGATACTAATAGGGCATAGTTACGCGGTAATAAATCCGCGCACGCTGCTTTAAACTGGTCCACCTTCGTGCAATGATCTTCGTTTTCCGTATAGAGCATTTTCGATCGCTTTGCAGTGTGGCTATCAATATGAATTTCGTGATTTTCTATTTGTCTCTTTTTTAAAAAAGAATCGATGTATATCCACGCTTCCGGTGTCTGTGTTGAAATGTGCCAACGTCTTCTTTTTGGAATTCTGCATAATGTACTGATGATTAAATTGACGTTTTTCTATATCTCACTAAATAAATTTACTAATCACTTTTTATTAATCACTAAAGCAAATTTTCGTAAAACTTATAACGTCTCGTAATAACAAATAATTCTCACCTGTCACTATTTTGTTGCGTTGTACAAACCGATACTGCTTTCGATGTCGTTGGCGTTAAAGAATCCATAGACGTTAAATCTATGATACCTCTATAAAAAAAAAGAAATAAATATGCTTAATATATAAATCGGGTTATATAAATCCGTATTTTAAAATTGTTATCAAATTTACCTGTCGTCATATTTTGGAGATATTCGTGATGATGTCGATATCGTCGAGTCTGTACATACTTCATTGAAAAGTTGTACGAGTTGTGCCTCTGTCCTGGGAATATTTCTATCAACAAAAATATATTCCTTCTCTAAATCATGTCACTTGAGTTTATCTTTTAAAATTGTTATCAAATTTACCTATTATTGCATTCCGTAAATATTTGTGTTGATGTTGGTATTGCTATGTCTCTACATATTTCTTCGACAAGTTGTACCTCTGTTTTAGAGCTAGCAACAAAAATATAATGTATTTATTATTTTCGAAATTTTTATCGCTAAATACTCGAGAAATTCACTAATAAAAGTTCTATTAATAAAACGGGTATAACATATATAAATTAAAACATTTTATATGATAACATAATTATATGAAAGAAAGTGATGTTAGTGCTTTTAACAGTGCTTTAGCAATCATATATATTTAATATATGTTAATAAATACAAATAATAATAAATACAAATAATAAAATAAATATTAATATTCAAACTTACTTATTATAGTTCTCTGATTTCTCTTTTAGCAATGTCGTCTGAACCGATGATATATTTCTAAGAAAATTTAAATTTTTAAATTATTCAATATTTGTGATTAGACATACAACATTATTAATATAAAAAGTTAAAACTTACTTATCCTCGTACACTTGCTTTATAGATGCTTTTGGGAAAAGCACTTGTAATGGTGAAGTTACAATTGTATCTCTGCAATTAAAAAATTGTACTTGATCAATAAATAAAAAAGTAATTATAGTAATATAACAAAAATCAACTTTGCATAAAATATGTTTATTTTACATCTGTTATAAAATATATGAAATATATGCTACATATAATCATATATGTTACATGCAGCAAAGTTAACTGAACAGTTGATTAATTATGATTGTGTTGTGTGAAACTACTCTCAGTATATTATCATTCTATATTTGATAAACAAGGATAACATTCTAGTAACACTGCCAGTGAATTTTTTAATGCAGTGTTTATATCATTCTTTTGACAAAGTAGAAACTCACCTTTCAGATTTTATGGGATGCGTTAAACTCAATTGTGTTGATAAATTTGATGATGAATTTCTAAAAAAATTTTTATTAAATTAATGTCCTTTTCTTATAGCAAAAAAAAATAAAAGAGGAAATTGAATGCAAGTTTACCTAGTTTTGCTCTCTGGCTTCAAAAATATAGTTACAAAAGAAATTGGTTGTAACAAATCTGTAGACTTATTACTGAAAAACAATTATATTTTATATTTCTTAAATAATTTTTGTATTGAATAATTTTCTTGAAAAATTTAAAATATAGTAAAATATAGTAAAATAAAGTAATTAAAAAATACAATTAAAAAAATATTTACTCACTTTCCTGCCTGTACTGGTTTCAAAAATATTGATGGTACAGCTTCTTTGCTAAGATAGATTCTTCCTTCTATATTTCGAAACATTTCTACTCGAAAATGCAAGTGACATAAACGATAGTATTGATTAGCATATTCTGGACCTAGTGTCATTAAGTCCATTCTATTGCATGCTTTAATCCATTCTAACCATCTAAAAAGTATATAAAATTCTAATTTTGAATATAAATTTAAGATTATATTTCTATAAATTACTATAAATTTCAAAATGTAATTCATGTACAGTATATTTAAATGCAATATTAATATAAACACAAATCAAAATATTCTAAATTCTATTCAAAATTCTTTAACAATTTATAATATTAAGAAAGATTTTTGAAATATATTAAAGAGCAAGCAGATAATATAAATACATACCTTTTTCTTTCTTTTGGAAAACGAAAGAAATGCCGCTTTGCTATTTTTATATTTAGCATACAACCTGATGCCAAGCACCAACGAGTGTTAGTTTCATTCATTTTATTACAAAATTTTTGTAATAATCACACTGTGCAATAGATTGTCCAATTAAACCTAGAGTAAAAACAACAAATAATATAATATATAAAATAATATATAAAAGTAAAATTATTTAAAGTATCAACTTTTAATGTCCTCTCTATTTTGCATATTCGTAATATAAATATATTTTTATTCTTAAAAATCTATAACAAATTATATACTCATAATATATTACTAGAAACTTTGATCCTCTAAGATAAGAATAATTTGAAAATTATTTTGTTCACAAATAATATCAAGTACAAAATTTTATTCGATTGATTTATATTAATGTTTTATTATACATATACATACATACATACATATATATATGTGTGTGTGTGTGTGCGTGTCTGTGTGTTTAATAAGATATATTCTATAAAATATATTAGTAAAAATAATATAAATCAATAGAATACATTTTTTATATATTCTTAGTAAAACTAATACAAACTTCGTATGATAAAATAAAGGCTCAATAACATGTATAACATGCAAGATTTGTAATATCATATTCTAAAAGCAAGAATATAAGAAATATAATAGGATACATATAAAAACAATTTCTTGAAAATTTAGTTGTCATTTTGATGTCATTAAAAATAATCAATACTAGTATTTTTCTTTCAATTATTCAATTATTTGTTATTATTACAGCAGAATACAGATTTAACAAATCTTTTATACACAATCTCTTATAAAAATTCTACAGATGAACAAATACGAGAATGTAGAATGATAGATCTTTGTAAATACATATACGTTTGCGAGCATAAATTCATACGAAATTTGAAACATTCAATATTTATATCTTCTAGATATACAGATACAGACCTTTCTGATATATAGATAAATATTTGTTTTTTGACATCCATATATTTCTTCTCTCGGACGTAACTCTTTTCAGAGATAAACGAAAAACGACAAAACAATCTATCAAAATCCGCCAAATTGCACGAAACGTATAACAGGATCTAACACGCATGTCTAGTACGAACTAAATTCAACAAGTACATTTGGAACCCGACAAGAAAAAAATATTATAAACAATAACATGTTTTGATCTTTTTGACAAAATCATTATGCGAGTTTAGAAAATCTTGTTCAATTTTTCGATCGAAACTTCCTTTCGCATTTTCATATTTTTTTCTCTATTTTATTTATATTCCAAAAAATTCGCATAATTTTTTTTCGAGCTCAAGATCCTAAAAGTCATATATGTACTTACGATCCTGCATACATCTTAGCTTATCATTTTTCACCGTAACTTTATGCTTTTCATAGTAAAAAGTGCAGTAATTACATAATGCGGAAAATATATCTCCTAACAAACGAGAAACAAATCTTGCACAATGATATGTGTACTTATTTTAGCTGATCGTAGCAAACCGATTGGTTGCATCTACATAGGTACTCAATTAACCAATTATCGTTTGCGCTGAATACGCGGCAATTTTAGGATTGGTTGCATTTTAAAAATGCGCATGCGTCAATGAGTCGATACGTTAACCCGCTAAAAAGATTAATTTTAAAATTTACTGCAATCAAAAAACTTATCTTTTGTCGTGACAACTTTATTTATATTAATTCGAACTAATATTTATTATTTATATTAATAATAATGTATATATATATTTTCTTAGAATTTAGAATTTCAAAATTTGCACTGATTTGTATCAAATTTATCTCTTTCTATATTGTGTAACACTAGTACAAGCTATACAATGTCAAGTATATCTATCATATCTGTAAAATTATCTATAAAAATTTTTAATTAATTATTAATATAAAATTTACATTAATTATTAATCAATATATTAATAATAGAACAAATTTATCTACACAATATGAAGTTATGTGATAGTTATCTTATTTTCTATTTATTGTATTGTTATTTTATCAATAAAGCATGTATATACATTATAAAGTGTACATACATATATTATATGTGTGCCTTGATGAAGCGTTCTTTATACTCTATAAAATACATATGTCTAATTATGGTATAAAATCTGTACTATATAATCTCGTACTTAAGAATATGCTGAATTTTATAACAGCATCTACAGCTGGCTCGAGTACTATCTCATCTTCAGCAAACCAATCAATGATATCCGCAGCTTTAAAAAAACATAATTAGTTAAACATATATCATGATAAATTGAAAGTTAATGAATAAAAATGAAATATGTTCTTTCAAAGAATAAAAATTATAAATTAATTTCATTTTAATCGAAAATTGATTTTATAGAATTCTGCTCTCTCATTTCTTTTTAAAAAAATAAAAAATTTAATATATAATGAAACTCATAGAAGAATATATCATTCACTTCATTTTGAAATAAATATAAAAATCATATAAAACCAACATAATAGTTTTTAAATATCAAAGAATTTTCAACTTTAATAATAATAGAAAAACAAAAAAAGTATCACATACTTATATTATTAATTTTAATCGCAGATGGCTGAGAAAATACAGTAACGCGCGTTTTCTTCAAATGCTTGCTCTCTAAACAATCCAGTTTAATCAATATCTGCAAAAAAATTATTTTCAATGAAAATAAATCTATTATGTTAGATAATAGCATATTAAATTAACAACAATAATGTTAATGATAAAAAATATATATTTTTTAAAAGAATATCAAATTTTTTGAATAACTTTATCAAATAGTTGCAAAAGATTTATTTATATCTATATCCAGTATAATTATTATACATAAACTCACTCTGTAAACAAAGCTTTTGAAAACAAATATATAAATAATTAATAACGAACCTCAACTAATTCACGCGTATGAAAGGGTTGTAAGACTGGGATGAATCTACTTTGCACCTTTTCCATGGTAAGTCCGGGATGAAGTAAACAATAATTCATAACTGCACCTAACATTCGATCTAGCACTTTGCGATTCAATACGCCGTCTACGCGAATCCAAGGTTTTATCACCACTTTTATTTCCTCGGTCGTACTAAAAGAAAATGATTCTTATCAGTATTGTTTTTGAAGTTTCTTACATATAAGAATTTTTTTTTTTCTTAATACATACGTGAAATCTAATTGTTGCGCAGATTTGTATACATCCCTTTGCGGAAGTAAACACGTTCTTTGCTTATGCATTCTTTTTCCATGTGTCTCTTCGTTGATCTCGCTGTCTTCCTTTTTCTCATCCTCATTACTTAAGCCATTATCCATTTTCTCGTCTTTCTTTTCCTCGACTTCTTCTACTTTCTTTCCTTGACTATCCGATGATGTTGATGGTATCGCACTATCTAATTGTGCCACAGATTTGTACACATCCCTTTGCGGAAGTAAACACGTTATTTGCATTCTTTTTCCATGTGTCTCTTCGTTGATCTCGCTATCTTCCTTTTCCTCATCCTCATTATTTAAGCCATTATCCGCTTTCTCGTCTTTCTTTTCCTCGACTTCTTCTACGTTCTTTCCTTGACTATCCGATGATGTTGATGGTATCGCACTATCTATTTCTGTATCTTCTTTATTCTGTTTCGCGTTAATTTCAATATTTGTCTTTACTGTCTCTCCCTGTTGCATTTTGGCATATATGCTATCCTTAAACGGCACTACAGACTCCTGCTCAAGACGATATATTTTGCAGGAATGAATTAGCCAAGAATCCACGTAACGATGATGAATGTAGCGTGGATTGGTAACACCAGAGCGTAAAAATATATGATTTTCCATTAAAAGCGAAACAGCTTTGTACAAATTCGTTCCTTGCTTATCGAAGAATTTATCCTAGACAAATAAAAAAACTAGTAAAATGCAACTTGTAAATAATAATTAAATCAGTAAAATAGTTTTAGAAAAAGATTGTTAATTTTAAAGTAAAATAATTAGTACATCAAAACTCAATTACCTGTAATTCCTGTGAACAAGCGCCGACTTCTTTCTTCTCTCGAACAAATTCGCACACTGCGTCGACGTATTTCCATTCAACTGGTATTTTTTTCTTCTTCGTCATTATTTCATCCTTATAGTCTGTATAAGAGATACCGCTCTTTGGAAAAATTGCAGTCCTATTCAGTTTATTGAGAAGATCATTTACAGCATCGATTCTCAGTGGTATGAGCTGGCTAGGTATTGAATAATTTTTGAAATTTTCAATTTCGTTTGATGATGCAGATGATGTTGCCAATGATGATGTCTCCAAGCTATAGAACATCTTGAAACTATTAACTACAAAGTATTCATGTGCGTGATGACTGTCAGCTTCTGTAATCCCTTCTCTCATTCCCAACATAGCTATCCTCGTGTATTTCTTCTCAATGTCATTTGTATCATTAAGCTTACTGAAAGGACTAAAGTAGCTTGTTTCGGATGGTACATTCTTGATAATCTCGTTGACACGTCGAGGAACTGCCACGTTGGTCGTTGTGCTTGGCTGCGTCGAAAGAGCTGGTAATTTACAAGTAAAATGACATATTTACAAAGTATTTTAAATTAACTTTAAAATTTGATGAAAAGTCACAGTATGATCTAATGTTACATATAAACTATAAATCTATAAGTTAATTTGTTTAAGTGTGGGAAAAAATTATCAGACTTGTTATAAATAATCGAATTAGAACATTAAATCATATAGAGAGAATAAATCTTTAATTTTTAGCTAATATTTTTCTCTAAGGATAAAAAAAATATGACATACCTTCTTCTCTTACTTGGTTTTTTAATTCTCTCAATGGTTCAAGAGATTCGAGAGTTTTCTTTGAAGATATCTTTCTAATGCTTTCAAGATTCTCGCATAAATTTAATTCTTCGTCTTTTTCTATATCCTCCATATCTGTCGAATTCTCAGAGTTTAATCTTGCTCTTTTCAAAAATGACTCTTCGTAGTCCATAGATTCGTCTTCAATATCGATAAATCTCTTTTTTGAACGATGTATTTTTTTCTCATTTTGCTTATGGACACTAGAATGATCCTTTAAATTCAAATTTCCGATGCTTTCATCGACTGATCCGCTTTCTGTTACAATTAACATTTTATTTTGTTCAAATTCTTCCTCTGGTTTTCTTTCATTACATTCCTCATCCCTACGAGCGATTTTTGCCAGTTTTTCATAATCATCGTTTTCAATTGGTCTTTTCCTTGTTGAAGAATCTTTCGAAGATTCCATTTCAGATTCGAAAAATTCAGCATTTTGAGCGTCAACGTTTTCGAACTTGAAGCGATAGAGCCTCGTCAAAATATCCTGGTATCTTTGCTCAACCCTAAAAGACTCGTCCTTGCCTTGATATCTTGCGTCCAACGTAATAATCTGTTCAGGCATCTCTATGTCAAAGTCAATTTGATTGCGTCCTAGCAAGTCATGTATGACAGTGACTATGCCGCAGGAAACTGGCAGAATCTCAATACCATTCAATATTTCCTCCTGTTGCTGTGAAGGGACATTTTTGTGCTCTGAATACCATTGTAGCAACTTTGTAAAAACATCGTAAGATTTTTTAAACATTTCGTAAGGCCACTTAGTTTGGAGTTTGTGAATGTAATTGATGCTTAGCTGATACTGTGAGCTGCTCGTCGGCATATAATTGCCGAACTTCTTAACAGATGCCAAATGGTGTTTCTTCACTGTTACCATCTGGTCTGATCTGATCTTATTCATCGCCTGTCTTAATAGAATGTCCGGATATCGTTGGTATACCTTTAATGAAAAAAATTTATTAACTTAATTTATTAAGTATTGAAAGAAAGTTTTTATCTTTTCTTATAAATGATGTAATCAAAAAATATTTTATATTCTTATTGACAATTTCAAAAAATTAAAGCAAAAACATATAAGATTGATACACAAGTTAATTACATATATATATATATATATATATATATATATATATATAAAATATATATGTTGTGTAAATAAATTATATCTAAAAATGAGCAATAAATCATACAAAAAGGTGAAAAAAGAAAATAATATTAAAACAAAATAAAGATTAAAAAATTAAAAATTTCTAACAAATCAAATGTTGATTCTCTATTCATCGAACATTTAATCAACAATTTAGTTAGAGTTTAATGTCCAAGCTTTACATATATTATGTTTCACAGAGTATCTTTCATATTAATTAGCCATACTTTGAAAAGTTGATAAGCCCAGGTGCGTCTATCTTTTTTGCAACACATAGAACTATGTATGAGAGAATTGATAGTCGCTGCATGAATATCATTTGTACTTCGCACATCCTTTGTAAATCCCTGATTATGATGCGGCTTTGCTGGATAAATCAACTCGAAAAGAAGATTAAATTCTTGCGCAGTCCTCGGCATCGCTATATGTTTCTTTGGATTAATCTCCGTAATATCGTAATACTTTTTAATGATATAGCCGACAAGCTCTTTGAAAATCTCCGTGATTCGATTCTTATAGTCCGCTGAACTCACGCATTCATTTTTTAATCTCTCCATCGTGCTACCATATCGTCTATCGACAAACAGATCTTGTTTAATCTCCTCGACGCCTAGTGCGATGCTATTCACTGTACGCGGCTGTCTCAGCATATACGTTAATCGGCGTTGACAAGCACAGGAGGTTTTGTTGTCTGAGTTGTAGGAAAATGTGCACAGTACATCTCGCACTGCTATGAAGTCGATGAGCTGCTTGCGCGGATTCGATGATAAATACGTTGCCGCTACCTTACACACTAACAGAATGTTATCCTCGTGCGATTCCCAATCCGCACGTAACTTGGGCATCCGTTGCAGCGCTTGATAATCAGACTCGTCGTACTTATGACGCCGAGTGCTTTTTTTGCGTGGCTCCACTCGTCGTACAATACATTTTTGCTTGGTCGATTGTTGTGACGGCAAAGCCTCGTTCTTCCGCCCGTTAAAGTGATCGTACATCTTTTTCCGTAGTTCGGTCGCGCTAATAGTAGGCGGTGGTGGTCCAGAAATCTTTTTAAGACCATCATATTCCGTATACTTAACCGGCTTTGTTTGAATCTTTGAAAGATGCAGATCTCGTTGACCGAATTTTTCATGATTCTTGGAGGCCTGATAACAATAATTAATTTACAATGTAATGATATTTCATATAACGTCAATTATCACAATATAAAAAAACGTTAATTGAGATACGATTTAATCTGTATACTGAGGATATTTTAATATCATATAAATCTACAAATCTAAAGAAATTTATCTGTACTAAGTAAAACTAAATGAAAATTTGTGAATGATAATATCTACATTATCTGAGATATTAAATTAATATTAGGAATTGTCTTTCATATTAAATGTATGTATATGTATGTGTATATATATATGTGTGTGTGTGTGTGTGTGTGTGTGCGTGTGTAATAAAAATCTAATAAATCAAAAATGTCAAAATATAACAAATATTTTACTTTATCTTTTTATAGAACAATTATTTTTCACTCTACATAACTGCTTCATTTACTTACCTGTCGATTAGTAGAACTAACTGGCCTATTCCAACTACGTTTTAAATGTGCGAAAAAAGCTGAATCGATACCAGCCGCTCCTTTACGATCTCCGGGAACCGCACCTGTATCCATTTCCTTGGTCTGCTTTGAAGTACGTGCTACAATCGCTTCTATCATGGCAGTTTTTTTGTTCAGATCCTCGACTAGGATATCCTTACCGTGTACGGGCGCTCTATCGCCAAGAGGTGTATTAACACAAATAGTCCACATATCGTACCAATATTTCTCAACGACCTATGAAGACATCTCAATTGCGTTAATAAATTTCTAAATTTCTATAATAATAGTTATTAATAAATAATACCTGCATACGGTCGAAAAAGTATTTAGTGACCGGATATATCTTGTCTTCGATCTTATGATAGTTCGGCGCCGAAGAGGTTGTATCCATCAATTCTGTGTATCGATTCAGATAGATGAATACTTGATCTTTATCCTTCAGTCGCTGTGGACCAAACTGCACCAGGCCGATGTAACATAATCTGGTTACAGTTTCATGGATATTAAATATATATTTCCGCGCATGTAAGAGAGTATTCCGTATTGTAACCTGAATACAAAAAAGAAAGCATTCTTAATATAAACAAATTCATATCATAAGAGCATTAACAGAATAGCTTATAATTTTGACTTTGAAAAATCTAATCGTACTGTCAGTTGATTCGCAAAATCACTAGCAGAATCATAATTAACTGTCCAGAACCGGCTATTAAAATCTTTTCTTAATTTTTAGTGATACTATAATACATCCCTAAATTCTTTCTCTCTCTCTCTCTCTCTTTCTAACTTACCGGAAGATTCTTGACAAGGTAATGCTTCCTGATCGGATGATTCAAATAGTGCTCCAACTCGGGTATTATGAAGGTGATGTTATGCACCTTAACGAAAATCGACAAAGGCAGCCCCAGTAGAACATCGCACATCAGCGCCCAACCTTCGGGCCATCCGCTATGTTTAGGCAAAGGTGGGACAAACATTTTCCAGCCTACTTCAATGTTATAAATGGTGCTAAACTCCTGAATGAGATTATCATCAATTTCATAATCATTAGATTTAAGAATTTCTATCTGTTCCTGCTGAGATAACTTTGGTATGCCAGGATGGTCATATACTAAATAAAACAGCAAAATGTGCATTGTCTGCATCCTGATAAACTTTGGACTGAGACCATATTGTTTGCCAGCTTTAGCATCAGACTTGTATTTCACAGAAAATAATGTATTTTTTGATATTGTCCTGTTAAGTTCTTGTAATTGCTCCCTAGAATCTGATGGCTTGTCCACTATATTTTCTTTAGTCTTATCTTCTTTATCCTGCCTATTCGCTTTTTTCGCCTTCTGAGATGACGATGTTAAACAAAACTTGACCTTCGCTTGCTCGACGGCCGATTTAATTACGGTGTGATCAGTATCGATATTTGGATCGCAAATAAACATCATGTTTCTTTCGGTTCTTCCGTTCGCGCTCAAAGTTAACTTGATATTCTTTACCAAGTTATCCTTGGCAAGTTTTTGCAATAATCTTATGAGAGATTTCTTGTCGATTTTAACATCATAACCTTCTTTATCCTCTTCCTCGCAAATCATTTTCGTAAGTTTCGATATATCATCGATCACTTGATGCTCCTTCACTGCCTCGATGATCATGTTAGCGCGCCTCAGTAATCTGAAACAATTATAAAAAATATTTAATAAATAATATGAAAAAATATAGTAAAGAAATCTAAAAAATATTTTTAAAAAATTATAAAAAAAAATATCCAAAAAAGTATTTGTACATAGAGATAAATTGTATACTATTAAAAAAATATAACTAAATTTATATGATTAACTGAATTTATTTGATAAAAATGAGATATTAAATTTCTACATACCTGTATGTAATATTAGATGTATTTTTTTCACTGTTTTGTACAGCTTCCATAAAACCAAAAACTTCATTAACTCCTTTCTCTGTATGAACAGGTTTTTGTGCTGTCAGATTCGTCTTTATGCTATTATAAAATGATGTAGCCTTGGCATTCGCAATTTGCTGCATAGATGAAATATTAGGTTTCACTTTTTGTTTTTTCACATTAATATTAGAATTCTTCATCTTTACTAATAAGGACTGCGATGTGCGCTTATATTTAGATTTATATTTTGATATTGACAATTGATACTTGTGCATAATTCTGTTAATGGTATAATTTTTCAATTCTATGTTTTTTTTAATACAATCTATATCTTTATTTTTCTCTTCACTTTCATTAACAATCGGTGCATCAATATTGGTTTGATTCACTTGATGATCTGATCTTTGACTCGTCTGATCATCTTTATCATCATTATTTATTGTCTGATCATCTTTATTATCATTGTTTATTGTCTGATCATGTTTATCATCATTATTTATGGAAGACTTTTCATCTTCCACTTGCAAGGTCGCTTTGTTTTTTAAATCACTGTCACTGGTGATCCTCTTAGTCAGCTCCTTAATCTTGTGTATCTCCTTATTAAATTGCTTACTCATCTTGCTGCCTTTCTCAAATTTCTTTGACACATATTTTGTAATTCTTTGTCGACCCATGTCGTTCATATACTTTGCAATAATTCCCATCTTTACCATATTTCTTAAAAATGTTCTAGATTGTAATTTAGTGAGACCCATCTCTTTTCCCAAATAAGCTAAAAAAAGAGATGTTTTATTCAAATTTTTAATTTTCAATCACTTATAATTAAAAGTTATTTCTATCTTGATAAGAAAATAATTGTTTTTAATTCACTCCATAGTATTTATAATTCACAAAATGCATGTATTTTCAAAAAGCTTCTTAATTTTGTAAAGATAAAATGATTTTTAGAGAAAACATATGATACATATATATAAATATATAGATTTCAAATTAATGCTTTGGACAGTAAGATTCTAAGATAATTACAAAGAAACTTTAAACTTTACCTTGAGATACACCTTCTAGTTGACTCGCTTCGATAATAGCATTTGCTTGCTTCAAGTAAGGAACATTGACTTTATGATTGGAAACATCCATATCAATGACATCTTCATCATCGTCTTTCTCATATTTGTTCCATGTTACATCTACAATATCGATATCTGGATATAATAGTTGTACCACTCTAATCTTTTTCTCTTTTGAAGGATCCTGTTTTTGTCGCCATTCGTTAGGCTCCGCGTTAGGATACAAAGTTCTATATGGCACACAAATGTCCGTCTTCGCAATTTTTTGAAAAAAAGAATTTCTAAACAACTTTTTGATAGAATTTTCAATTCCAAGTTTCCTCTTAATCTCGTCATACTCAGCTACACCATTTTCTTTGGATCTTAGAATATCAAGTACCTGTTCTGCTAAGTAAATCATTTTTGGTTTTCGTTCTACGTAAAAACGTGGTAGATGCAAGAGGCTACTACTACCAGTATGGCTGGAAGTTTTCTGATGGTGAATTTGCTTTGTAATTAATTTGTGATGTAGCAGAAATTTTCGATGATAGAACAAAGTTTTTGGATCCTCTTTGAGTGCTGCTAAACTAAGCTTGCCTTGAGTAACTTCACCATGATAACGAGCTCTTCCTACTCTTTCTAAAAAGCAATAATGCATGATTGTCAGTTCCAATGTTGGACTCACATCAACACTTATCAAAGCCCGTGTTCTGATCAATTGAGATGCTACAATCACCAAACTTAATCCATATTTTTCTGTTACTTCATCTAGATCTGCATTCTTCACATTATTTTTGATATCCTTTCTTGTATAATATGTAGAACAAGATCCTCTCACACCTGCCTTAGGATCTTGAATAGGACAGTGAGGATAAATATCTGGTGGAACATTTGGCTAAAAAATGTATAGAAAAATAAAAAATCTAAGGAAAATTTTTTTAGAATTTGTTTAAATTACAAATTAACAATTGAGAAAAATTTTTAAATACAATTTGACTTAAAAATCTATTTTTAATTTATTTTTAATTTTTAGACTTAACTAGATTTAAAAAAAACAACTTTTTTCAATAAATCTCTTATCAATCACTTAAAATTATATTTAAATGACTTAGTAAAATGTCTATAAAATATATGAAAATCTCTTTAATAAAGCTCAATTTAATTATTAACCTTGTCAAAAAATGACTAAACTTAAACATAATGTTTATTGAAATCTTTTTTATTAAATATTATTAGTGATCTTAATTAATTTGATTTAAAAGTAAACTTTTTAACATTAAAAACTTAAACTATTAAACTAAAACTTTAACTATTAAAAACTGTAAACTATTCTCTAAAAACATTATATATATATAAACATAATAAATTAATGTATCATACTCACTGGCTCAAGTATAATACCTAGGCAAGGATCTACAAATTCATAACGATCAAATATCACCAGTGGTTCTCTTGGCGTTTCCAATTCATAAAATGAAAAGTCTTTCACTTTTTTAATGATTGACCATACTTGTTCCATTAAAGATTTAGGTAGTGGCAATGGATCATGAAATCTGTTTGCTAATCTTATCCATAATGCTAAAGAGAAAACACAAAGACATATAGACTACTAAAATTATCCCTAATTTAGAGAAAAAATTAAAATACAATAGAAGAAAAAGAATATTTAAATATCAAAACTAACTATTATGTAAATCAATAAGATATATAACTTCAAAAAATAACTGAGGCATCATAACTAAGATTGCATCAACATTATTTTGAATTTAGGACTTAAATATGTATATATCTTTATTTTTCTTTCTAAATAAATAAAAACAGACACATATATTATATATTATTTTATATATTAAGTCTCGTTTAAAGTCAAAATAATTATGGTACAATCAGATCTAAATTATATATATATATATATATATATATATATATATAATTATTTTCTCTGTATAACAAAAATATATTATTTTACAGAAATATTTTAATTATTATAAAATATTTGTTACATATAATTCTAGAAACTTTTTACGATAGAAAGTAATGAGATTGAATAATTGTTAACCTTGTAAAGTAATGCCATCTAATCCTTCCAAAGCAACCTCATCGATAATTGATTCCATTAAATTAAACGAGGTCATCTTTACATAGGAACTACAAATTTTCTTCTTGAAAAGTTTAATATGTTCGGCACGAGACTGCTCGTTTTGTTTGTATTTTCAACGTATGCAAGAAGCCATGTTGAAAGCCTATATGTCAAAGAGCAATCGATTGGTTCTTACTTTTAGATCCAGCCAATTAATTTCCAGTATTGCAGAACGACAATTCAACGATTGGCTCTGCTGAATCTATGTTTTTTTTTTGTTCCAACCTAAATTATCGTAAGCACGTCAAGCACGTTACACGATCTGAAGATACAGCTGACATAATTTTTTGGTTTCTTATAAAATTTATCATATCAATGAAGTGATTGCCTCACACAATAGCGTTTTTGTGTCATTATTAAATATTAAATATTACAGATTTAGGTGTGTGATATATATGAACGCGAATACTTAACAATGACGAACAGCTGGCGAGACATGAACGGGCCAGTAAACTCAATGGTAAGTGACCATATGCAACTTTATAAATATTTCCACATATACACACATATTATAATGAAAATTTAAAATATCCTTTTAAAACAATTTATTTTTAAAAGCATTTTCATAAATCGCAAGCATTTTTAAAATCGAATTTTTTGAAAAACATTTACATTATTAGATGAAAACATGTTATTGCACTTTTTTTAGTATTATTCATTGATGAATTGAATTTTTTTGGATATGTTTCGCTTATTCTGTTACAGGATCTGGAACATAACGAATTTTTGAAACGCATAAGGAAATCATTGTACTATTCTAAATTACCAAAAATTAATTGCCTAAGTTTACCAGTTACTGGTTAGTATAATATTGAATTGTAAAAACTCATAATTTATTAGTCATGACCTATTAATCACACATGATTTATATATATCTGTACTTTATTTTGTTGTATAATATTTGGTTTGCAATATTATGCATAAAAATAAACTTATTAATTTAAAAAAGTAAAAATGAATTTTTATGTTTTTAGAATTGGCAGCTGAGATTTTTACAGAAGCAAAGAGTGGTCATACGTTAGAAAAACTTGACGTGGAGGAAGCAAGCAGAATATCTAGAAATGCCTGTGTTTCTCCTTGCTCGCTTGTACTAGCTCTATTATATATTGAGAGACTAAAGAATTGTAATCCAGAGTATCTTCAGCAAGTAGCACCATCTGAGCTATTCTTAGTTTCTTTGGTGATTATTTTTTCATCGTTACAACTATTGCAATTATAGTTAGATTTTAAAAATAATTGGCATAGTTACAATATTATATAAATGACTTTTTACCAAAATTATTAGATGGTAGCCAGTAAATTTTTGCATGATGATGGTGAAGAAGATGAAGTTTTTAACAAGGAATGGGCAAATTCAGGACAAGTGACTATATCTCGGATGAATAAACTGGAAAAAGATTTTCTGGCTGCAATTGTAAGCACATCATATTATATATCGTTTTCAGACTATGATATATATTATTACATATGTATTACAAAATTATAGCTAAAATTATAAATATTAAGTTTTTGTAAAAAATCTCGAATGATATTTTATAAAATTAATTATAATTAAATTTTGTTTTAATCATGACTTGACATTTGATATTTCTTTAATTTAATTGTTTCTGATTTATAATTGTTTTTATGTGATAAAATTGATTTGTATTAAAGTGTTTTATAATTAAATAAGTTTTTTAAAACTATATGTTAAAAAACAAAAATCAACAAATATTATTCATAATCAAATTTATCACCTTAATAAAAAATTGTCTACCATAATCATAACTTTAATTGAAATAGTTACTAAAAGAATATTCCATTTTTCATATAACAGGATTGGACAGTATTAGTGCAGCATCAAGACTTTTGGGAAAAATTGCAACGATTAGAAAAAGATGTAGCATATCGAGAAGTACAAAAACGTGGATGGTGCTCATATACGGAGTTAAATTGTCTACTAAATTCTGTTCAATTGATTGCAATTGCACAAACCCTGATAAACGTCTCTTCAATCTGCTTGGCGACCTATGCCGCTGGTTTAATAACTCTCGTGGGATCCACTCTGATTGGCCATTTTATTGTACAAAGTTGTTTACCCGGAACGTCACTAAGTCCGAAACAATCTGCGAATCTGCAAACGAATTTCATGTCGACCGATTTAATTGATGTATCTATAAATACACAATCCCAGGAAATCAGGAACGACAATCTTTCGATATCCAGTTCGTTGATCCAGGACGAGAATGTTGATTATTTTATAAAAACCGATAATGATGATGACATAACTGGCTGGCAGTGGTGGCTTAATTCCATGATGACTTGGCTGCCTGAGTATTGCATCTTAGAGAATGATTTCGAGTTTACGAATTCCACTAAGAAATTGTACATTACTAACGCTAAATTTTCATTTAATTCAACGCAAGCTATGAAAATAAGGAAGATGGAAAAGATAGACAAAATGAAAAATTTTGCACCAGAAGACTATCGTCGCAATGTGAATTGGAAGGAAGCATTAGGAAACATTATAGTCTCGATTAAATTGATAGTTGGAAACGGTCGGGTCAATTCTATTATGAAAGTCGTTCAATCATCGATGTCTTTAAATATTTACTATTAGCTTCCTGATAACGCTTTGTCCATTAAACAGTCTCTTTCACAAAACATAGATATATCTATTTTTTGTACTAACTTTTTGTAATGTAACGTTCGATACTAACAAATGTTTTTCCAAATAAATATTCCAAATAAATATTACATACTACAAAAGAGAACATTGTGTGTGTATTTCTATTGTGACATCAAATATTATATTAAAAAACAAGTAAGAAAGAAATATTGATTTCTATTATTTTATAGGAATGAAATTAAAAAAAAAAAAGGAATAGTTTAATAGCCTCTTACATTCTCTCTACATTCAATTGATATTACATCAAATAAATGTACGAATGAATGAACAAAAATGTGTGTTTGATCAACATTCTTTTAGAAGCTATTAAACTATTCCTTTTTTTTTTAATTTCATTTCTATAAAATAATAAAAATCAATGTTTCTTTCTTACTTGTTTTTTACTTAATAGATTTACTTAATACTGGATTAAAATGTCAATAAAGTACCATATGTACCAATATATTGTTTTAGTAGTTAAAAAAGAAAAATTATTATATTACACGCTTTTTTTACGAACTTTGTGTTCTCTATATAATCTATCTATTAACATCCTATGTATTTGTTGGGACAAATTGTGTTATTGCGGCAATTAAACTTTAAAATTATAGAAATTTATAGGCCTTTTTAAAGCAAAGTGCTTAAGTGAGATGTTTACGGTCCCATGTGTTAATTAACTTAATCTTCGTTTCTCAGTCGTTTTTCAAGTAATTCAGCTACTGCGAAAAAGCGCGGCCATCGGTATAGGCGTCATACCAAGGAGACATCCAATCGTAACTCCAACGACTCGACCCTGTATTAAATAAAAAAATTGCAATTACGTTATAAATAATTTCGTAAAAAAATACATAAAAGTTATTTTAAATTTCTTTCGAATTTTTTCGAAATTTCTTTGTACAAGAATAATTATAATGTCTCAATATCTCATACTGTAACTATTTTTCTTAAGAATTTATAATGTAAATTTTTAAAACAGTATGCATACTATAGAAACAAGTTCCTTAGGAAATATATGACTATATAGAATTTATTTTGTATGTGTATGTTTGTGTATATGTGTTGCGAATTATTTTATATATATATATAATTACTTTGTATTTTTTTATATGTACTTATACACACACGCACAGAGATATATATATGTATATATATATATATATATATATATATATATATATATATATATATATTATTATTATTATTAAAATTTCAATAAATAATGTATAAAATAAATTTTTATATATCACTATATCAGACAATAATAATTTAATAGCATATGATAAAGAAATCATACCAAGTTTGCAGCTATCCGTGTCCTGGGTAGATTCAGTTGTGCTAATGTCAATTTGGGTGCTTTAAAACCGACTCTCTGGGCGAACATCTCAACATAATGCACCGATCCTATTCCAATAATATCGGACACTGTGTTGCCCAACGCGGCCGCTGCCATAGTCGAGATTGGAAACCTTGCATTCAATATCAGCTCGATTTGATCACCCTGAAACATTCATCTTAAAAATCGGTACGCAATAAACTAATGAAAATCTATAAGATACATACAGCAACAATCATGATGAAGTTGTCAAGAAAACCAAATCCAACGAATGGAATTGCGTTCGCAATTGCGACTGCAAAAATACAATAATTGTCTGAGATTTATATCTTTAATTGTATCTGTAATTATCTATGAAATTTATATCTTTAATTATATCTTTAATTATCTTTAATTATCTATAGAAATCTAAATTATTATTATAGATATGCAAATATTACATATAAATATTTTTTAAAAAGTCGTATTTTAAGAGCTTTTTGCTTCAAATGCAAAATATATGTATGTAATATTATAGATATTTTTAAAATGTATTTTAAATTAATCTATTATTTATAGACTTTTTTTAAAATGTAAAATCTCATTAATTATTTTGTTTCAAAATTTATGTCCTTAAAGTAACATAAAAATAATTAATAGGCTTCTTATATATAATAGGCTTCTTTCAATATCAAATATTAAAACTTATTTCAAAGATTCTGACATTTGTGTTCAATTGTAATTTTAAAAATACATAAATTATCAAATATATATCTATATACAAAAACAATACAGCTTCTGAATAATATAATCATTGTGTCATCATATACATAGTAACTAACATACAATCTTTATAAATAGGACAATATTATTTATATATTATTATAACATATGTCATGCATGAGAGCAAGCAAGAGACAAGTAAGAGACAAACGCAACTTATTGTTTGCTTGCAAACATAATTAAACAGTTGTGACATAGAAAATAATTCATACCTAACATCAGATCTTTTGTAGTTGGTTCTGGAACGTTTTCAACTGCAATAAGAAAAAATACAATATAAATCTAAAATTGTTCAACTAGAAATTTATATATGTTTAATAAAACTAGCAAGCATCAAATACTACAAGGCAAATGTATTCTACTCTTCACATACAAAAATTCTATACTTAAAGTTGATATATTTTTTGATGAAAATATTTCAAATAAAAAAGAGGAAATTTTCTTAAGAAATAGAAAGAGAAAATTTTTGAACAGTTATTTCTGATGAGGATTATTATAGGGAAAATGAATATAGAAACGAAGAAAGGATTTCACAATTACAGAATATTCTTATACTTTTCTACAAATATACTAACATATATATAATCATTTTAGCATAATAGAGATACAAGTGCATAATGTGGGATAATTTTAAAATAATTTGAGCAAACTTTAAGACTAGAAATTTTATGATACTGAGAAATAAAATGTGTAAGAGAAAAAATTTAATATAAACCAATTTCCACAGTAGGAAAACTGTAAAAAAAGGATCAGAAGAAAGTGTTCAAAGTATTACCTAACTGTGGTACTGTGGTTGACCGTGAAACATCCGAAAAGTGTTAGAATAGAAGTACGCAAGAGGTTAGTGTAATTAGAAAAAGAGAAAGAGAAGAAAGGAGAATGAAAGAACGAGGAAAGTTCAACTTACAGAATAACATCCATGGAGATCGCATTGCAGGAAAAAGATTCCATTATATCCAAAGATAAATAACAGTCGAGGATGTTAATTTTATTTTGCGACATCTATAGATGATAAATCTAAGTTAATGTTTGTAACATTTTATGAAAGTAGCAAGGACTTTGCACACTGCATCAAAAATATTAATATAAAACTGCACTTCCTTCCTCTTCAATAGTCTTGACAAATGAAGTATGTATGATTTGAATAATAAATAGGAATAGTCTTACCATACTTGCGATTTAACCAGTCATCTGGCATAGGGCAGTAGGTTCCTGTAGGATCCACCTCCCCTAATGATGGTATTTTGCTAGGTCTGCCAAGCTTGCTGCTCCATCGAAAAGTTGCCAATTGACCTACAAAGAACAAAAACTTTATTATAAAATATATAAATAAAAAATCAAGTTTTTTTGAATTATAATATATATGTGTATATTGTTATGAAAAATATAAATTAAAAAGAGAAATTTTCTATCAAATCTTGATTCTCAAAAATAACATATTAGTAAATATTAATAAAATAATATTGTTAATGTTATAATAGTCACATTTATTTATGCAATATAAATTTCTTACAGTTTCTATAAAGCACACAATATGCTTACCTTCATAGCCAGCTTTCTCTTCCTTTGATTTGCATTCATTCAATGCCGCCAAAAACAGCTTACGTTCTTCCGAAGTCATCTTCGAAGTTAATTCTTTTGCTTGTTGCTTCGTCAAAGCTTGAATGGTTTCAGAAGAGATTGGAGTTTTCATGGAAGAGAACTTTTTACTCAGAATATCGACGATGTATGATGACGTCGGACAACATCGCGACAATGCATTATTCATTAATGTTTTGTTACGATTGTTAGAATAATGCGATTGCTTAATATTAAATTGTGCGATGTCCCTCGAAACAAATCCTCGCCGACTAAAAGCTGTCATCGATACGCACATCTTGTCAAAATTCGAAAATTCCGACGCCTTAAAGACGGTTTAATCGCCGAATTGTTGGAGTAGCACGTTATCTTGAGAAGAAAGCCTCTCGAAAATTATCTCGAAGAAAGATACGAGCGCGAAAAACAGACTCAAGAATTCAATGATATCGGAGGGAGTCTTCGAGACGGTGACGTCAAACGCAAAATTCGAACCACACGTAGTAAAGAATAGAAAGGACAAATCTTTGCGCATGTGCGTAAAGATTTGTGTCTTTACTATTATAAATAATTTTATTATTATGAATATATAATTGACACGTGACTGTGACACACAATCTCATCTTTAAATATAATGTAATGTTTTTCTGAGAGACCACATACATTTTTTCAAATTGGTAATCATACATCCACTATTTTGGCCAAAATATAGAGAGAATCATATTAAAATTATGATACTTGTAATCAGTAGGATCATCTGCAGGGTGCGACAGAGCGAATTTTTGGATAAAATATCAAAATAAAATTGCTGAGTCGTGCGCCTAGTAACGGGTCAGGTGCAGTACGAATCTCGCGAATTTTATTTATTATAAATTTTTAAGAACCAAAATGCAAAATGTGACTCTGTCGCACCAGAAAGAAACCTGAGAGCGGCCACGCCGACGTTTTGTTGCCCTTTTACGAAATTGCTTGAAACGCCCCTCGCACCCATTTTCAAAGTTGGAACTATTTCTCGCATCTATTTTCTCGTACTGTCGATAATGGCCTATATTCTGAATCCTCTTTTATCGATAAAAGTGCCTCTAAAAGTGACATATAAGCCTTCTGATTGGCCACTTTTAAAAGTCCTTTTATCGATAAAAGAGGACTCAGAATATGGACCAATGTCTCCACTTGGTGCGTGTCTGTGCTACGCCCATAATTTTCGTACTGAGAAACACGGCATCGAGTCTATTTACGCATAATCTTTTCTCTTTATATACTTTTATGAAAATATCGATATATCCCAGGTAGCAAGCACACGTCATTTTGACCCAAACTGGTCATTTTTGGTCATATGTCGTCAAAATGACTAATTTGTTACATGACTTTATATTGACGTTTTGATATAACATTATTTTGACGTCATTTTTCAGTCATGAAGTGACGATTATTTTATTATATTTTATTATGTAATATCATTAGTTAGTATATCGATCCCATAAAAAAATCTTTTAAAATTTTTAACATGACTTTCGCGATCAGACTTTAACGATTGTTAAAGTAAAATTCATTGTAAAACCAGTAAATTTCACTGTAAAACCAATAATCGCTAGTTCGTTCGTTTACCGCTATGATCACTATCTCTCTCGTATTTAGTTTTAAAGGCCATCACACAAAATTGCATAGCTGCATATAATTACTCCATATAATGTATATCTGACATCCATAAGAGCTCCACAATACATCTATAATTACTTCATATAACGTATATCTGACATCCATAAGAGCTCCACAAAATATCTATAATTACTTCACATAACATATATCTGACATCCATAAGAGCTCCACAAAATATCTATAGTTACTCCATATAACATAAATATGACATCTATGAATATGTCTAATGGATGTCGAATGAAGGTATGAAATGCGGAACCGTGTATGTCTAGTAGATGTTTACGGGACGTTTCATGAATATCTAATGGAGGTTTCGAATCTCCATGGTAAACGTCTAGTGGACATCCAGTAGAGGTTTTTGTTCCGTGTGGGTAGTGTCGCATGGTAAATTTATATTCCCAATATCTTATAAAAATATTAAACAAAACAAAAAATGAAAAATAAATACTGCAGAAAATGCAGAATATGCAACATATTGCATCAACTTTTTTATATTATAAAAATCAAGTTTCTTAATATATTTTGTTCTTATGTAATTACATTTGTCATTACATTTTGTCATGTATTTTCTTTTTATGTCATTACATTTTCTTCTTATGTTCTTTTGTATCTTTCGTCTTCTTTTTCAACTTCATACAATCTTGACAAAAATTCTATTTCTAATTTAGATCGTGATTTGTAAGATAATCTGTGTAAACCTTCTGCCAAACGTGAAACGAATCCATTTATAGCATTTGATTCTGTACTTTGTGTTAAGGAATTAATAAATGCTTTTTCGTATTCATCAACCCTCTTCCTCTCTGAAACAAAGAAATTATAATTTAATTATTCATTCGTTAATGTTAATTGCACACAATAAACGCTAAAATTCATACTTCTTGATTTCGGCGATGTTGAAGAGACTGGAGATGAATTAAAAGTAAGAACATTATCAATGTTGAAGTTGTCGCTTTTTGATGTGATCTTTGAAGTGGACGCCTCCTCTTCATATATCGATTTTTGTAAAGATGTTATGGTTCTAAAATAAATGTAATAAATAAAAACATTATTATAATATATAATAATTATCAGGTAAAGTATTTAAGGTACACTATTTTTGAACTTACTGTCGATATTCCAATGTATCATTTAAGAAATTCATTACATTGTAGTGACGAAAGAATGGTTGTATTTTATAATTTTTTAGTATACCAGCTATACCACTTTTTTGTATATTTTTTTTTAACAGAATCTCGAAAATATTTTTTACTTTTCTATAGCAGTCTTTTAGATAATTCCATCGCTTTTCTGCTTCAGTAGCGGTATATGAACCTATGACACGCAATTAAAAAATAGATATGTATGTAATACTTGTTTATATGTGTGTGTGTGTGATGTGTATCTATATATACATAGAAAACTTTGCAAATAAATAAACATCTAAATAAATAAATATAAATGTTACCTTTCAAACATTCGCTGACTTCTTGCCATAAAAAGTCTTTTTGTTCCCTCCCTCGCTCTTTTACTGGTATGCGAAAATTATATAAGGCTGGTCTCTCCTTTACTGCGCGTATTAAGTCTTCATCTAGCCTCTCTGTATCATAGCTAGTGTATTCTTTAAAATTCTTAGCAATGTTTTCTTTCTTATTAGCAACGCTTTCTTCAATATAGGCAATGCTGTTTTCATCTTCTGTTTCAGTCTCACTCTCGACATAGGAATGTGTTCCCAAAGAATCTAAATAATTTAGTTTCAAATGTTTGTAAAAAATATCGTATATTAATAATTATATTCTAAGCATTAATTAAATTGAATGACAATTGTAAAAAAATGAAATTTGTTAAATATATTGTTTCTCTTATACACACAAATATATACATACCATTTTTAAAGAGTTTTCTATCATTGTCCATTATTAATTCTCTACAGTTTCTAAAACAGCCATGTGAAATTTGTCCATCTTTATCACAACAAATAATCCAGCCACAATATCCACATTTGAATTTTTCCTAATCAATAAAATACATTATACAATCGATTTTATTTGTTTTTTAAATTTGTAATAAGAACAATTTGAGGATTGCCTGATTAGACACAGTACGATTAGACACAGCCAATCATATCGACCGATGCCTAAGGTAACCAGCACAATCAAGCACGATTAGCCAATCAAAGCCAGTTGTGTCCAATTGTACTGTGTCTAAATAGGAGGTGTCTCAACAATTTAACCTAATCTATTTTATAAGTCTTGTGTTTAATATTAAGTAATCTCACATATGCACGTGAAAACACATATATGTGTTTTTACCAAATTAATTGTTTTAATTGTTTTAATTAATTATAAATACTTCATATATAATAATTCCACAATAAACAATTATAAAACAAATATATATGTATACACACACACACACACACATATATATATATGTTTTATAATGGTCCATTGTACATTATTATATATGGAGTATTCATAATTAATCAAAACAATTAAAACAATTAGTTTCACAATAACAAATATACTATAGTGTATCAGATTGACAATAACAAATATACTATAATGTATATACCTCCTCTTCCGGAATATTTTTGGCACAATCTTTATTTTCTTCAATATATTTTTCGTCGACTATCTCAAAAACCCGCAATTCCGTTTCGGATAATTCTAAAGAATGCTTAATTATTTTTTTTGCCTTTTTAGCTTTTCTTAAATTGCGTGCTTTCTTTAAAGCGTGACTTTTCATGTCTCTCCATACCTATTAACATATAAAATTACTTTTTATTTTTTTCCTATTCGTAAAAAAATATATATCCAAATCCAAATTGAAATTAAATGCACAACTTTTAATATATATTATACACGCATATAATATGTACATATATTATTTGCATCAAGTATGTATATTATATGTATATACGTACTACTTGCCATTGTTTTGAAGTTTTTTTCGGTCCTATATTATTTAATGCTGCAGTTATCTCTGCCCATTTTTCTTCTGTTGTTTCTTTTCCATATAACACATTAGATTTTCCTTTAGCGAGGTCCTTATTTAAAGAAAGAAAATCCAACATTTTCGTATATTGAATGGAGGTTGTCCGTGGACTTCGTGTTTTTTTGCTATAAAAGTATAAAATAATTATTTTGTTCTTGTGGAAAAATATTATTGAATTAGTGAAAAAATTATTGGAATGAATAATGTACAACAGTGCTGTCAATTATTTGCAGCTTTCGGCCGGATTTCTTAGCTCTCGCCTACCGTTCTTCCCGCACGGGCCTTAGCAACCGCGCCGAACTATAATATATAATAATAAATAATAAATAATAATAATAAAATTATATAAAAAATAATATATAAAAAATTACAGAAATAAATTATATAAATAATAATAATAAAATTATAAAATATATTATAATTTTATTATTATTATTTATATAATTTATTTATATAATTTTTTATATAATTTTATTATTATCATTATTTATATAATTTATTTATATAATTTTTTATATATTATTTTTTATATAAATTTTTTGTTATCAGATTGTCACTTTACATTTGTGACGCGCACGTGCCTAAGGTTACCGCCGCGTTCCTTATGAGTGTTCATCGGCGCGGTTGCTAAGGCCCGCGGTAAGGAGAGAGCGGTAGGCGTGAGCTAAGAAATCCGGCCGAAAGTTGCAAATAATAATTGACACCACTGGTGTACAATATTAGATTAGAATGGTTTTCCAATTATTTCTTTGTGAGTCTAATAGTATTTTTCCATAAGGTATATGTGTCATTTTCATTTTCTGTATAAAACATATTTCGAATAAATACTTACATTAATACATTCATTATATTCCTTCTTCTTTTTAATGTCTCTCTTGAAACAGAGTCCGCGTTCCGAGTGCGATTTTGGTTATGTTCTCTTGCGTTCATAAATTCTGCTGAAAGTTATTAGATTTTTACTAGCGAAAAACTGCAATGTTGTTAGATGTGTCCTTTGACTATATTATATAGTCAAAGGATGTGTCAGATTTATCAAATCGTTATCGAATTTTGTAGATACGCTGATAACGAATCTTGCATCGATAGATATCGTTAAGGCTTAGTTACAGAATCACGCCGCGTTGACATCGTTCGATCGCGCAAGCGACAAACATCGATAATTAGCGATAGCGACAATCGTCGCTAAGACGTTAGAGAATCCCGTTACTGAGCACAAAGATGTAACCGTTTCCGACAAAGTCGTATACGTAAGTCGAAGACGTTAGTCAACGCACAAGGATTTTACGTAAACGTAGGCCGTATCTTGTACTGCATGTTATGCGATATCTACGTTTACGTAAAATCCTTGTGCGTTGACTAACTTCTCCGACTTACGCATACGACTTTGTCGGAAATAGTTACATCTTTGTGCTCAGGCCCCATCTTGCATTTCGACACCGACACGCGACTTGCAACAACTCGATACGCAGGCCTTAGCTTACCGGGCCTATAACGATGAGGCTTCTTGACGCCATCTTTTGCTGGACCGCTCTTCCTCGCCGCTTTAGTAGGAAGCAGTTTTCGCGGAGCCTTACCTCCTGTAGATTTGCGAGCGGTTTGCTTCGCACGTGCCATCATGGTGAAAGAAATAAAAGTGAGGCAATCCTCGTGACGAGTTTCTTCTTCGGTAACACTAGTGACGTGACGAGCAGTAATGGTAGGCCACAGACATCTATATTACACTAGACCAAAGCTGCCAGATCTCCGCCGCAAGCAACATGCAACACCTTGTGGAGGGGATAACGGGGATGTGAGCGTAACGTACGTGTAAGCTCGGCGCTTCTCCGAGCTCACTGTACGTTACGCTCACATTCCCGTTATCCCCTCCTCAAGGTGTTGTATGTTGCTTGCGGCGGAGATCTGCTTTGCACTAGACTGCTAACTTCCTTAAGCGTCGTCTACAATGGCAGTAGGATTAATGAATTAAAGCTGTAACTCAATAAATTGACCAATCACAGTCGAGTATTCTCTTAATGCTTGACTGTGATTGGTCAATTCCTTAAGATACAGCTTTAATTCATTAATGGGTCTGTTCGTTTTAGCTGCACTGCTGCACTAGTGCAATTAGTTAGAGTGAAAAAAAGTATGTTTGTCTTTTTCTAACTTATTGCACTAGTCCAGCAGTGAAACTAAAACGAACATACCCAATCCTCCTGCCATTGTAGACGACGTGTTATATATCGTGCATAAAAGTTGACTCCAAATGTTATGTACTACGAAAGGGAAACAAATGATCATGTGATGTGGACACGTGATGATATCGAGAAGCCTTCATTAGCGCACAGTACAATTGGACACGTTGCAATTGTGCACCATGCTATTAGACACATAAGATTGCGCACCGTTCGATTGGACAATTCTTTTGCGCACAGTTTTTTTGCGCACCATTCGATTGGAACTTAACGATTTGACTTAACGAGAGATGTCGATAACTTCGGTACAGAATAGCACTTAACGAAAATTGTCGATAAGTATAGTTAACGATAGTGACAATCGTCGCTAAGGGCCCTGGCACACAAAAATACGTAAGCAATAAAACATAGTCAGTAAGGAAATCGATTTCTTACGTTTTCTTACGTTTTAATATGGCTGCCTTACTGCTCAATCATGATTAGTCGGGATCCTCCTGAACGGTACCTTATCGATTACGGCCGACGATCGTCTTTGATGCTTCGGTCGCTTGTCTCCGGTCGCCCGAAATACGCGAAAATTGATGTATAAAGCTTCATGTGCTATTTGGGGTGGCTATGACAACGTCTTTACAGCAAAATAATTGTGCAGCCAAATGCTATGACATCGTTTTCACAACTTAAAAATGTTATCCCACTTTTGCTGCTACAACGTTGTCGAAATGTTATAATGACGTTTTCGTTGTAGCTGTAATAGATAAAAATGCTGCGGTTTAAGCTGCCATGACGTTGTCGCAGACGTTATAAAACTTCATGTGCTACTTGGGAACTGAACAAGATTTGTTAAAAATTACCATAGCAGATTGGTGGCAGAAATCGAGCAAGATCTGCGCAACACAGTTTGATATCAGATTGTTGCAGAAATCGAGCAAAATCTGAGCAATTTGATGTCAGATTGTTAGCAGAAATCTAACAGAAGTTGTATAAAATTATTATAGAAGTTTGGCGACAGAAACAGAGCAGGACTTGTACAAAATAATTTGTTGTCAGATTGATTGCAGAAACCGACCAGGATCTGCGCAATGAAATTTGATATCAAATTCTCGGCAGATCGAATAGAGCCTACTGATATAACTGACAGATTGATGACAGAAATTGAACAAGATCTGTGCGACTCAATTTGATAGCAAATTGATAACAAAAATCGAGCAGGATCTGCGATCACAATCTCTGATAGCAGATTGACGGCAGAAACGGAACAGGGTTTGCATGATTTGATAGTTCCTTCACTTACCGCTACGTGAGCTGTACTTTCTCGTAATCTAATTTTTGTCAGAAATATTTATAAAGTCGTGAATATGAATAAGATTACCTCTACAGCACTGAAGCTTGCATTAACATTGCTGCAATGTTACAACATTGCACATAGCGATGTAATTCTGTAGAAATATTGCAGAGATATTATTTTGTAATATTACTTTGGCAATATTGCAGCTACATTTTAACATAGCGAACATGTATAACATATGTTTTGTTACATATATATGTTAATATATGTATAACATATGTATAACATATACTAAGGAAAAAAAATATACTTTAGATCTTACGTTAATACAAGTCCTTTATATACATTTCATGATAAATATTGAATATGAGAAAAATTAAGAGTAGTGTCGCTGCGTAACGGCAAATGAAGAAACATGTCGCGCACACGAAAATCGAGTTGCGACGTATAAGTTGCCAATTAAGAATATATTCTTATTCATTAAGAATTTACAATTTTTTCGATGTACCACTTAATTGCTTCTATAATAATATACGTATAACTGTTGTTTTTAAATACTGCATAATAATTAAGTAAATATATAATGCAAGATATAATTTTTAGGAAAAATTATATTTGTCTATATAAAAAAAGGTAAAATCATATATAATCTTAAATGATTATATTTATATATAATCATTTAAGATTTTACCTTTTTTTATTATCATATTATTATCATATATGATTTATATCAAAACATGAAACTAACCTTTGCTTTGGTTTTATACATCCTTAGATATCAGTATCTGACTATGTCTGATTGTACAAAATGACGTGAGGTCTAATATCATTTTTTTATGATCAGAAATGGTCAGAGATGGACATCATATCTAAGCATATATAAAAACGTATGCTCTGATCATATGTAATATTATATATAATCATATAAGACTGTATATAATTTTACTTTTTTTTATATAAATAGGCATGGACTTTTTTTCCCGAGTATAATTATGAGAAATTAAGAGTTTTATAATATACACAATAATTTTTACGATTTAAATCAAATTAAACCCAATATTTTATTAGAATAATTTTCAATTATATACATTCTTTTACTTATATAACAATAAATAAAAGTTACCCGAATTATATTGTGTTTGATGTCATTTTAAACGCAAAAATTGCATTAATCCCTTTTAATCAAAAAGATCAAATTAAATATAAAAGCTTCAGTTTTTATTTTATGGCAGTTTAAAGTCGTATATTATTATAAATAACGAAAAAATTCCCGATATCGCAGATTCCGAAATTTCTTATATGAGACTTCATTTATAATATTCACGAATATATGTCAAAAAATAAAATGCATTTTTTATTCATTTGAAAGTAATTTTAATAGAATAATGAGAATTTTGAGATTAAAATAATATTAAACACGATATAAATCGCATAAATTTAGTTAAATATATAATTATAAAATTTTTATTATCAGACTAATTAAAAATTATCCGATTTACGTCGTGTTTGATATCATTTTAATCGCAAAAATCTCTTTAATTTAATAAAATTACTTTCAAACCGATGAAATTAAAAATAAAAGTTTCAATTTTTATTTTATAAGATGTTTATATTTTCGTGAATTACGAATGGATAGAGGAAGCGAAGAAACCGATTGTAAGAGACTTCGGAACTCTTCGATGATAGGTCATCTCGCTCGCTCTCTACTCATGATCTTACTTTCTCTGTCACACTTGAAAATCGTGATAGACAGCTCGGAAAAATAAGCGGACTCAAAAATCGAGAACGAGCAAGATAATAATGGAAGGGAGCGAGACAGTAATAGATGCGAGCGAGAGGAAAATAATAGCGCGCAAGAAAAATCCAATTCTCGAGCTCGACTCCTCGTTGCTCGTGCTATTTCTATCTCGTTCGCTCTTATTTCACTCGGCCTTCTCGCTTCCTCACATAACTCTCACATCGCTTTTATGCATATATACGTACATACATACGTACATGCCATACATACATACACACACACACACACACTATCCCCACATCAAAAATATATACAGGGTGATTGTAAATAACTTTATGTTTTTGCAAAAACATGATCGAATTCTGAGACAATTTTTCTTTTGGCAAAATTTCGTGCAAAGCACAGTTTTTGAATTATTAAGAGAAATATTTTACTTAATGCGGGTCGGATACAAGAGGCAAGCAAGGGCGGCGCAACTGACTGTCAGACGCGGGCGCTCACGCGAAGCGCCTTCGGCGATCAGCTGATCGCTATACTATAGACATACATGCGAATACATATCTCTCTCTCTCTCTCTCTCTCTCTCTCTCTCTCCTCCCCCCTCTCTCACTCTCATTCGCTCACTTACCCGTATTTTTTTTTTTTTTTTTTTTTTTTTTTTTTTACGAGGAGAAAATGCATTTTATGCATACTCACCGGTCGGTCCAGTGAGTTATGTGGGACTCGAGTACCAAGTCTAATTACCAACTCGGTACTCTCTCTACCCACTAAAAACCTCTCTCTTTTTACAAATTTTCTGGAACACTATCTGACTTCCCAAGATCTGTTTTGACACGCCAAAGAATAATTATTGTTACCTTGTTCGATGACTTCTGCTAATTATTGCTGTAGTTTCTTGAGAAATAAATATTCCGATGGATCGCACTTTCACTCAAATTTAACGTAGATATCACACATTACATCACGTACAAAAGACAGAGACATCCACACTAAATAATTAATCGAAAGTTTTTTTTTTATAAACTATACTCTTTTGTAAACTTCAGCGTAACCACATTTATTCACTCATTCGATAAAACGAGAATTTATTAAACTGTCACTATCTCTATCACTAATCACTATCAATCACTGCCGAATAATCACCGTTAGCAATTAAAAATCCCTCGATGAAAGAAATACACGCGAACACACACGTTATTACACGACGCGATATTTATTCGGCGGTAACAAACAGCTCTAGTTATGCTTAGGTTACAATAGGTTAAGGTACTAACAGCGTTGCCGAACGTAATCATGTATTTGATCGAAGAAAGCGGCCAACATATAATATTAAACATTCAACGCGCGTATAATATTATTATTATCATACGATATACATACATTATATGATATTCAAAATTAATTAGAATAAATGAATGTTTTTAAAATATTGAATATTTTATTATTAATATTAAATATTAATATTAAATATTTTACTATTATTATTAATATTAAATATTTATTTATTTAATATCAATAATAATATTTAATTTATTTATAAATAAATATAGTTATTTATAAATAAATTAAATATTATTATAGTTAAATATTTATTTAACTATTATCATGGAAAATCAATATAAAAAAATATTAATTAATTGCAGCGATCCTTCTCTTGACTTTTTCTTACGCTTTTTTGAACTTTACCGGTGTAAGTTCCGGCGTAAGTTAATAGTTACGGTCTCTATAAACCAGCCTTTAGATATAATTATTAAACC